TTAAAAATTTACTTAGTATTCAAAATCAAGACTATTTGACGCAGATTTGCAATCAAACCCTTTTTGTCACAACAACTATAAAAAATAGAGAACATTTTATCGTCTTTATTTTCTGATGCAATATTTTGCGTAACGTCTTTGGATGTGTTGATTTTGAAAACAAGTGTTTGTTTCTTCAATTAGGAATATGTTGGCATAAAAGTTGGCCTATTAACTGTATTTTAAGTATTATTGTTTGATAATCTTCAAACATAATTTTCTTAGCTATTTAATCGATTTTACTTCGGGGATTTTTAAAAAATTGCTGTTGATTTCGACCTAGCTTAGATATTTTTAAACCAGCAACCAATTGTCCTAAGAGCAGGGTAGGAAAAAGGGCAAATGTGACATGTTCTCTTCATAAAAAGACATAAAATGGATTTGATTTGAAAATGCCTGTGTTTTCTACTAAATATTTATTATAGACAGTTTATGTCGATAACAATGAAAATCATAACTTAACCAACATTTTTATGTAATGTTTAGAGAATACTTTTTTCCACCGTCAGCCTTCGCTCTTGTTATTGCTTGTATCATAATTCCTGTAGAATTCCGGTTGGAAAATAAAGAGATTGCTTCTTTAATTGACCTTTATTCGCGGTGAGTTTTAGATTTGTAACACACGTCAGATCGTTCATTCAAATCGCTTTACAATTATCAAGCATGGTGTCGCAACCGAGTTCCACTCTTACTTATAAATCTTTCCCTATCTCAGGTCATATGGACGATACCTCTACTTTTGAGCCTTCAAGTTGTTGACTTAGTACGAAATTACATTACTGACGCTTTGGTTTTCGCATAATTTATTCAAGGCATGGATGTTGAAACAGAGGCATTCGTCCCTCCCTTTTTAGTCAAAATAGAAGCACACGTCCTCTTCATGAGTATTAGACCTTTTTGATCTTGGGGCGGCATCATTGTAGGTTGTTAATTCTCTAATTCAGATATCAAGTTGGCTCTGGCAATGGCCCGAAGAGGTTGATACCACAACAGGAATATTGTATTAACGGACACCTTCTGTCCGAAGATAAACGAGGTCTTTTAATAATGTCTTCTTAATGTCAACAATAATTCTATAAGCCCCCCCCCTTCGTACAAGCCCCCCCCCCTCGAATAAGCCCCCATCCAAAAATATCACGAATAAATAAGCCCCCAGGGGGCTAATTCGAGGATTTACGGTAACCTCTAAGCTTCGGACATAATCCCCAAATAGGCAGTTATTTTGGCTCCTCGTTTGTCTGCCATATAGATGTTTTAATTCATACTGCTAGAGAGGATTATTCGTTAACTTCTAGCTTGAAGTGTACAATGGCTAAAATCGTATTCGCTGCTGAGTTTTCTTCAGCATTTCTAGATTATTAATGTACACATTTTTTGCTAATGTATATAGAGTAACATTGCACAAATAGACTGAACTGTAAATACTGATCTCGCGTAGTTTAACAGGGGAAAATCAAAATCTTTGTTCGTCATCCTCTTCTTTATCTTTTTTAGTCTTGCTTTGAGTCATAAGTCAGTCATATGTGAAGGACCTACTCGAAGGGCATAAAACCAAAAAATAGAATATGACACTGTGACTGCGCTAAGCATCATTAGAGTATCGAAATGTGGCGTAATCAGAAATTTTTATTAGAATTTCTTTAGAATTTCCACGTCATCCGAAAGTACGGCATAAAATACCTCTTTATATGCAACTCAGTTAGATATGTCCAAAATTGGGCGCGATTTGGCCAATGAAAGATTTGAAGCTTTCTAACAGATTACTGTTATTCTGGTTTGGTCCAGAACCAATTTACAGAGCTTTGATGGGACGGGGGGGGGGGGGGTGGGGAGAGGACCTGTGCTTATATGGTCATATCTCAGCCATTTCGTAATTCGTTCAACTGATTTTGCACATTTGCAGGTACTTTAGGTGCTTTTTCAGGTTATGGGATCAAAATTCAAAAATTCTTAAAATTGATTTTTGTGGCGTCATCACTTCGGTACTCTATTATGAAGCATTGTAGCAGCAGAATCAATTTAGAACCGTAAATTGTATTAAGCAGAGTGCAGAATAGCTCACCTCCAGAAGAAGAAATTTTGTCAATTTGCCATCCTCAAAATTCTCCTTGTAACTTTTGAATGAAAGTCTCTAAGAACTTAATTTAATGTATTGTTTGGTCTTTACGCTTTGTCAGGAAAAAGAAATGTTCAAGCACAGCTGTCAATTCCTCTCACTATTCATACTCTTGCCAAGTTATGCATAGGCCTTCCTCAAAACCTGACCGTTGGATAACCTCCCCACTCACAGCCGTGAAACTGTAATGTTTTCTGGACTTTGGTGTTAAACTCCATTTCACGGCGTTTAGATTTTGTTGGAGCACGGTGCAGGTTCATTGGCTCACAAGTTTGTAGCTATCCTTTGTTAGAAATTTCACACAATTGGAAGCAAAATTTTTTTTCAAACAAACTTGTTCAAAGTGAGGGTTTCGAGATGAATTTTCATGTTATGTAATTTATAATTTTTAAATGGAGTTATGTAACGTAAAAGGTGAAGAATCTTGTGAAAATGTTTGCAATAAACCAAACAAACTCTCGAATGACAAAGCAAGAGAAGTGGCTCTTATTACTCAAACTCGTTGAACAGTTGTCAGTTTCATTCAATATGACGCATGTGTTTTGCTTGCCATAACTTGCCAGTTCTATTCACTTCGAGGCCGGCCGGAGGGGGCGTAAAAACTCCCATTTTTGACCAGACGGGATGTGCCGTGGAACAGGGTATCCTTTTCCGTCAAAAATAATTGGACAAGTACTATGAATTCAGGGCCGTCGGAAAATTTTTAAACTGTACTATATTCGTTTGTAACAGTGTACTGAATGCAGCAACTCCCCTGTATGTAATTAGTTGCAACAGCACTGGAATTGCATCAAAATTCTGGAACAGGAAATTTATAAACAAAATATATTCGAGAATAACTTACTCTGTTAATAAGGCTATTCTTAGATTTGGCATGTTCCAGTTACATTTGCTAGTGGTAAATAGATACCTGGTAAATTTTCGCATTGTTGTGCCGTTTTCATGCATATTTTTTTAGGGACAGGGTACGTTTTTGGAATTTTTTTGCATGGGATAGCGTCAGGGTGCAAAAAGGTTTTCCAAACATCCCTGTCATCTGGCTTGGTGCCCCCCGAGACAGGCTATTGCCGAGGGAAATGTAAGATGAAGGCACTGGTCTTTTGGCCGCTACCATTCCAAAGTATACACTCATTTTGTTGTATAAGAAACAAAGGTCGATGTTGAGTACTGCAGTTTCTTGATGTTCTGGAAATCTCAATACCGTAAATCTTCGAATAAGCCCCACGCTCGAATAAGCCTTCGAGGATTTACGGTTTCATAAGATTTCTTAATTATGATGTCATGAATGATGTTATGAAATATTCGTGATCTTTTTTATCACGTCAAGAGATTCTCTGCCTTTCTCATGCTATATTTTGATGTGGGAAATATATTTTTATCCCTTGTGTTTTAAGTTCTAGGCAACAAGGCAATAGTTTCTTAATTTTTTTGCTTCGAGTATTTAAGTTTCTCAATTTTTTCTGACTGTCCAGTACTCGTTTCTTAAAGCCAGTCTCTTATAAAAAAAAATTTTATCCAAGAAAAGCAGATTCGGAGGAGGATTATTTTATGATAGAACCGGGATGGTTTAGATAGATCCTATAAATATATATTTGATTTGGTCAATGTTGATTAGAATGCGTCTTTCTTATCCGAAGCATACCTCTGTGGGATTTTCCTAATTTACATAAATCTTGTTTGCATAAAAAAGAGGAAGCCTGTATCAAGACGTCTGAAAAAGGCCGTTTCAGATGATACTAAATAAGAGGGAAAGAGTAGAATAATTGCAAATTGTATGATGCTATTAATGCTCCAATTGGTCCCTAAAGGCCCCAATTGAAAAACCCATTTTGATTTACTTTGGCCTATAAGTAAGACGCGTTCGTGCGATGATGGATTAAACGTAAAAGCTACTTCCGCCCTTGAGATTCCGTTTATTAGTAAACTGCATTATTTCAACTCAATAATTTTACTAGCTGATTCGCATGGTACAACCACCTCCCGCCCCGCCCCTAGCCCTTTCCAATATATCTATTAGCCTCTCTGTCCTTCTCACCATGTGGTCACATTCTAAAATAGCGAGACTTTTCAGGGCCATACCCAAAAAGGATTTAGGAAAGGCTACTTTTTCAAAAACAAGAATACGAATGAAGCAAGTAAAACTAGACACATCTTATCGTTTATCCATTTCACGTCCATTAAATAATTCCACAATCATTAAAGCTAGTTATTTAAAGCACACAACCTAGACAAAAGTACTCCATACGACTAGACATAGCACAACAATGGCTAAGAAATCAGTTCTTTTCGCTGATCCAGAGTCAATCGAATGATATTTCTCAGCAACAAGTGTATTTTTCTTTATTTCACCGGGACTAGACGCATTAAGGTGCATACAGTCATTGGGGGACTGGGGAACAGTATACTTAAACGACGCCCCACATGGAGTTGCATAGGCCCATACCATCTTTAAATATCAGCGAAACTTGAGCAGTTTTTCGGCAGTTTGCATTTGTTTTCACCTAGTTGATTGAAATCAAAATCAGCTATCCAGTTTTTGGCGCATGTCATGTCGTCCTTACACGATCGAACCAAGCATTACAAAATGAACTGCAAATAGGCACTCCAACGAATGACCCTTGAAACTGGCCTTTCAATACCCAACATTTGGCGAACATTGGTAAACAATTCACTTCCTTCATAAAAGTTTGACATTTTTTGCTAATAGATCCACAGTTATTCCACGAGAAATTTCCAATTTT